CGCCTGGTGCGTTCCAGCCTGGGTTTATATGCTGCTCATTTACTTAACGAGTACGAGGATGTACTGATGATTCCCACTCCTGCCCGCACGCTGCATTCGGTCTGTATTTTCAGCTAAGAGGTGAAACACAGATTGCTTCCTGTCTCATTATCACCTAGTATTTGATATTAAATTTGTTTTGCTTCAAAGCAGTCTTCTGCACTGCGCGTGAGTTACAGTAATCTGTTGCACATTCTTCTGCTAGATACTTACTCTAACATCCCTTGTAGTTACAATTTCTTTTATTGGATGCAGACCCTGTAGAGCCTCCTGCATTGGATGCGTGTTGCAACACCCTCCCACGTCAGGCTGCGCAGCTTCAGCATCACCGACAAGTTTCTCCAATTTCAAATTTGGCGCATTTTGTTTGCTCGTTGGTTTTTGTTCTTTCAGCACGCATGTGCGACCAGTGAGTTCAAGGACGACTGGTGCCCAGCATTCAGTACGAGTGTGTAGGGGAGAGCGAGGGGATCGAGAGAAATGCGGTTTTTGCTGGCGCACTCGTGTTGACTGGCAACGCCCTTTCGAAATTTCCATATGCTCTAGCAACTCTTATCGGTGATTCATTAGAATTAGTGTCTTTTCAGTATCGTTAATAGAATCCTTTTTTAGCTTTTCAACTTCTTCAGGGGTACTTAAAAGAAAATTTCCTAGTTCTGTATGATCAGAGATGCCACGCACATTCATCCTGCGCTATGAATAGGATTGCCTGCGCCGCTGTATGCGTTGTTCGCATAATTCGTTACTTGCATGATTCGTCATAACTCGCATAATTTGTTACGCATAAGTCGTACGTGTTATTCGTTAATACGTTATTCGCTGTATTTCATCCCGTAAAATAAATGTCTGTGCCACAAAAAATCACCTGTAAATTACAAAATTCAAAGTTACAACATTTTGATAATTTTTGATGAACGCAGTAGGTCAAGGACAAATGCAGTTAGAGGCATCGAAAGAGGCAAAATATTTTTGACAGTGCAAGAATTTAATGAGTTACAGTGGAGGGTAGACTGCTGAGCTCAGTATTGAAAGGCTTGTCAGCTTCGACATGAGCTGTGGAAGCATCCCAGCATCTCTCCGTGCAGCTTTGAATTCTTGATTGAAACAGCTTGACTCGAATAATAAGGAAAACTACCAAGAAATATACGTTGTTTTGTCAACAACGTGTGCTGAGTGAAACTGAAAAATATTCGTCGCTAGCGAGCTCTAAACGCACCTCCAGTAGGAATAAAGTTGAGGGTGTCACTGAATGCTGCGACTGTGGCTGATTAAATTCAGACTATGAAATGTTCCGGCACTCGCGGCACTTTCAGTAATTCCGAGCTCTTTTTAACTTCTTTTCTTCTGCATTTACAGGTTCCAGTGACATTGGCAAATGGCAGCAGCAAGTACCAGTAAGAGGAATGCCATCGGTATAAACGATAAATCGTCACCTTACAATATTGATATCTTTTTGAAAGATAAAATTTATCATCCTGGCGATACGATTCAGGGGGAAGTGGTTTTCATACTCGACAAGGCTCTCCGTTGTGATCGAGTAGATGCACAACTTCTTGGTTCTTTTCGCGTCTTCTGGATTGACAAACAGGTACTTTCGATATGGATCTCGGTTTGTCTTGTGACAATTCTGGATCCTCTTTGCTTCGAAATTATGTCTGCGAAAAAGGGATGCAACTGCTTAAATACTTTCTAAAGACATGGCATTTATGCGTGATGGGGATTGAAGGCCATGGCCTGAAGTGGGAGGCATAGAAGAGGAGCGATCGGTGCTAAAGGTGCGGCTGTAGCCATCAAGACATCAGAATGCAAATTTCAGACTGTCGTGACGATGGGTGCTTTTAAAAGCTATCATTCTAAAGCATGGCTTAGTTTAATTTTCTAAATAACAATAATGTTACTGAAGCAGTGGAGCGAATATGTTTAAATTCAGTTGCACAGGTTGACGAAACTGGATGTCATACAGTGCCGCATGAACAGAGCGAGGTTCTACTGAACGAAACTAAGTTGTTGTGGTCTGCAAGCAAAAAGAATTGCAACAAAGCCCCGGAACTAACTGTAATTTTTATGAATTTTTGTTAAAATTAATGGTTGGGAACGGTCGTGCACATGTGTGTGTCTGTGTGTGTTTGTGTACGCATGTATTATGAAATGCATCACTGAAGTCTAGCTTACATGGCCTGCTGTGTGAAAAGTTCAAGCCAATTTAACGAACAAGTACTTCTTGAATGGTACTTTGTAGTAAATTTACAGCTTGACGATATCATCCGATTTTCATCAGCAACAGCTATACGAGCAAAAAAAATTGAAAGAGGATCTTTCGAGGGATTGAAAATTGGCAAGCACAGTTTTGAATTCACATTCCAACTACCGAAACAAGGGCTGCACACGTCGTTTAGCCTCGCGGACTGCCATGCACGTGTACAATACTGCATCAATGTAAGCATTTGTTTCTGTATTTTAAATAAAAGGGCATCAGTGACAGGAGCTGGTGTCACAGTTCGGATAGTGAAAAAGTTATGTCACGCTCCCTTCCCATTCGACTCTGTACTTACCAAAAGCAACCACTTGTTACAAAAGCTTCCAGTAGTTCATACTTCGGTGCCTAGCTGCTTGCAGACAGGCTGTTGGTGATTTTGATTCCCTGAATGAAACGTAGAGGGATTAGTTTTTATGCGTTTTTGCATAATATGCAAAAACACATATTGTGACGACCCTGGTGTGTGTGTGTGCGTCTGTCCGGGTATTTCAACTCGGCACCCAAGCAAGCTCCGG